AAAGGGGGGGGGGGGGGGGGGGGGGGGACGGACACGGGATGGGACAACAACACATACAGGAAAACAAAGACCAGTGGCAAGCTGATATGCCAACTCAGGGATCCCTTTTCACGATAAATGGTGGGAATCTGCCACGAAGGCTCAGATCCTACCATCTCTTCGTGCCCAAACAATTCTATCAGAGATCATTTTCAGAGAAAGCTACAGAAAGGATCTTGTTCTAATGCGTTCAGAGGTACCCTCTTTATCAATGAGGTTGGATTTAACCCCACTGTGGAAACAGGTTCCTCATATGGGAAAAACAGCGGTCAGTTTCCTGAGAAACCCGATGGGTGTTGAGTGACAGAGCGTGCACCATCCACGACTGGCATGTGAAAAGGCAGAACAGCTGCTAGGTCCACTTGAACTAGGGTGATAGTAATATCAGCGTGCATGAATTCCAGCAGACAATCCAGTTTAATCTGAAACAGGTAATTTGGTCAAGCTAATACAATCTTCCTAATATTTCATGTAAAACTCAGTCCATTTCACCCCACTGGTAAGTCTGCTTTAGTAGTTTTCTGCTGTGAATCTTCAACCTGGACAGAGCATTTATTTTGCAACATCCAGAGTAAGAGATGAAGGGACCACAGATTCAAGTGAAGAACTATCCCTCCCTCCTAGGTTAGCAGGAAGCTTACCCTACAACGTAAGCGCCATACTGAGTCAGACCAACGTTATATCCATTCTAGCATTCTGTCTCTGACAGTGACAAGCAGTAGATGCTTCAGAGGGAAGCTACGTGAACAGGGCAAGTCTAGAGTAACCTGCCCCTGACACCAACTATAAAGGATTCAGGGATGTCAGTAGATCTATATCCCCAGCTGTTCTATTTATTAGCTCCCAATGAACCAGTCCTCCACAAATCTGTCTCATCCCTTTTTGAACCTGGTGATACTGTCTGCTTGTACAACCTCAAGTGGTCACGAGTTCCACAGTTACCTATGTAAAAAAGTGCTTTTTGATGCATTTCAGACCTGCCTCTCGATCACTTGAGTGGATGCCACTTTTTGCATTCTGGGACTGGGTGAATAACAGCTCCCCATTTGTTTTATCTATACCCTTCAGGATTTTATAGACCTCTATCACACATCCCCTCTCAGTCTTCTCTTTTCCAAACTGAAAAGTTCTAGCCTTTTCAGTTGCCCATCATTTGGCAAAGTTCAAAAGAATAAAGAATAAAACTGAAGATGTGATACTAGATTTTAGGTAAGTTTAGTCTGTCAGACACTTGCACCATTCTTACTACTTTTGTTACAAGAAGTGTTATGTGAACTTGATATCTTCCATTCTTACTCTCTATAAAAGCATCAGAGGATTAAAAACAACCTAAAAAGTCTTGGGAACTAGGAAAACAACATGTAGCTTAGCATCACCTGATTTTAGATCATTAAGGATCTCAAAAGAAGAGCATCAACATTTCAGATTATATTAAATTAGGAGGTATCACATATGAGCAGGAATTATAGATATTACTCTAAAGAAGTTAGCACCCTGGAGAAAGAAGTACAATATATGACATTGTTTTCTTTAGCTGCTCAATAAGAGGGAAATATTTGGATACATCTCCCTGCCAAAAGGCAATTTAACATTCTAAAATTGTTCTAGCCAACATTGCTTAGTACCTGAAGAACATTAGGATTGCATTTTAGAAATTAATGGAATAAAGCAGTTTTTTCCCATAAGAATTAGGGATGGGAAAAGCCAAGTCACTTTTGCCATCTACTTCCAGAGCAGGATTGTTCCAACTCCCCTTTAATAGCATCTGGGAATCCTTACATGTGAGTAAGGATAAGTATGAGGGGTTTTATGCTAGTAAGTAACTACCCAAAGAGTTACAGGTATAGACTCAAATATTTCTATCAACTAGTAAAGTGCTTATTACTAGGCAGACAATACTCATCAGAATACACTACAGAAAAATGACAGGCTTAAACAGTTACCTTTTCAAAATGATGAATGGCAAGCCAAATTTCTCCTTGAGCATTGAAAACACAGCCAAGATTACTCCATGCTACTGCAAAGTTTGGTTGAGTCTCTATTGCTTTCAAATAACAGGCCTTGGAACAGTTAACGATAGATACAAGGGAAGGGGAATATTTGTAAAGAAAAGAAAAGAAAAGAACAAAAAAAACGAGAAAAAGTAATTGTCAGTATTCCTTCTCCAACCAGCCAAAAGTGACCCTGCAGTATAGGCTAGCTTGCGCCAAAACTAATGCGCTGTAAACAGCTGCTGATCCTGCGCCAGCGCAAACCAAAACCCAGGTGCAAGCCCACCATTTTTCAGTTACGCTGATCTTTAGGTAACATCCCTTCAGAGACTAATTCACATCAGAAATGCACTACTTTTAGAAGGGCATTTTTCTTGCTAAATCATATGTCATTCTAGCCTCTTTCATTATCTAGGATATATGAAAATATTCTCCACCAGCTACATGCTCTCCACTGAATAAACATCTTACGTCAAAATGAGGAAAAAAATACGTCAAAGTAAACGAATAGTTTTAAAACAAAATCTAGAAACAGACTATTGAAAAAGCATGGCAGCCACTCTTGAATATTTAGCTGTCCTTACTACCAAAGGTCAGATAAAACATGGATGTTATGTCCTGCTCTCCACCTCCTCTTCAATATTTATTTGCTAGGCTACCATCAGCCTCAAAACCTCGAATGACAGGATTGCATGAAGGTTTAGGTCCCTGTAATGCAAGCGCAAGAAATCGCTGGCGCATCCTAACAGCACGCCGCCACGCTATCGCTGCAAATTGCTGTGCTATGTATAACGCCCCTAGATACAGTGAACGGCCAACCAGAATCGTTAATCTACCAGACAGGTGCATGTAGAAACTCCCATATTAAATTTGACATCTGGATGCTAAACATGTTACAACCCGATTTTATCCAAAAGGCTACAGCCTGGAGCTTCAGCAGCTACCCAATCAGAGATTAATTATCGAGTCAACCGTTCACAAGGGCTTGATCGCACGCAATGCGCATTACCGCTGCGCAGCCTTTGCGCTACTGCAGGATCACAGCGCATCATCAGAAGAGCAGAACGCTGCAATCCAAACAAAGAAGAAAAAAAGGAAAAAATGAACAACCAGAAGAGTTAGAAGCTTTTACTATTAACTATCGCCAATTATTTCTTTTTCTTTTCCTTTTTAACATTTTACTTTACTTTACTTTATTTCTTTGAAAGAATTGTGGCTAGTAGTATAAAACATTCTTACATTACATGGTTGTAAATAAAATATTTTAAGCTGTTTCTGAAGCCACAAGACAGAAGATTCAGGCATGGAGGCAAATGGTTTTGCTGTGGCAGTTACAAACCCGTTACCATATTTCTCATCATGTGACTTTTCGGTGCGTTCCTTGCTGGAAGAGGAGGAGGAGGTGTGTGTCTGCCCTAGATCCAGGCCTCGAGCTCCCTTCAGCGAGGCACCTTACGCATGGAATAGGAGGTTTCACCCACCTGAAACCTTCTAAATACAATATCAGTGGTGAAAAAACCAAAAACAAGAGAGAAAATAAAACAAGATCATTAGTAAAAGTTCAACAAAGCAATTGCAATTCTTTGGACATGTCTAACACATGGAAATGAGGACAATCTGTCTGTAACATGGGAGTCATGCAGAAGGGAGAGGGTTAATCAGGGCAACTGCATACAGCAAGGCTTTTTTTTTTTTCTTTTTTTTTTTTCTTTTTTGGAAGAAAGGCTCTGAAAGTTCTATAAAAAAATTAAATTTTAGTTCAAACAGTAAGGAACTTGCTGGCTTGATCTTTCAAATGCACTGATAACCAAAGAAATACATTGCAATTTACTCAAGGTATTTTTCTTGTTTAATGAGTTCTCACAAAAAACAAAATAACACTTTCAAGCTAGGTGTCTCCAGAGCTCTGAAACAAAGAAGTCAGCAACCTAAGGCAGGCGCAGTGTCTTGGCCTATACCAGTCACACTAAAGCTGCAGTGAAGTGCAATTCATGTTAGCTGTCCGCTTGCTGGGCTGAGAACCAAGTGTCTTGTTATAAAAACATTTGTAATTTATGATTTGTTATTTAAGAATATTTGCAACTCAGATTCAAGCACTGAGTTATGCTGGCCTGTGAAAATATCCATTCAAGTTGTCAGAATTTATAAACTATGCACTTTGAACCAGCACTTCCGTTGCCCCATTAACAGATGGTACTTAAAAGTAATACCCCTCCCCAGATGGTACTGCAGCCAAACAGACAGCTACGCTGTTCATACACTCCACTCGTTAGCATGCGCGTGGGGCTTGGAGTGACAGACTGGGAGTCCAGAGTCATCCTGGTTTCTCCACACTCCTCACCCCTGCAGCGCGGACGCGTAAGGTGGCTTGTAACATGACAATTTCATTTTACAATCAGAGTTTTAATATGCCAAGAGCTTTAAACCCATTTTGGTGTTCAAATTGGCAGTTTGGTAAATGCAGACTGCTAGAAGCCACCTTTCCACTTTAGCAAGTTTTCTTTCGATCAGTTCACTTCCCAAACAAACCAGCTTTGTCCTTCTGATTCCTTTTTTTGGCAGAAAGCATTTAAAAAACAAGTTATTTGGGGAACCAAGTACCAAAGATAGAATCATTTACTAGCCTTTCTTCCACTATAAAAAGGTGAGGGAAAAGGTTAAAGAATAAAATCTTTAAATGCCAATATTACAGGGTAACATTTGGATAAAATTCTTCTCCACTTACAAGCCACAAAGGACTTTAGAAGAGCAGCATTTTCAATAGCACCTGCATCGTATAGGGATCTTGAGCTAAAGAGGCTCTCTGCTTGGCACCAGCAGGCAAGCCTCAGATTTGAAGGCGTGTTATTTATTTCCAGATAAGAGCATGGTGGAGCCCCTGCCCAACACTTCAGAATGGTAACAGATAGTCAACTTCAGCAGAAGGAATCAGTAATGTTCCATTTCTTGTTTTAAAAACACTGAACATGGTCATGTCATATCTTGCCCTGCAACTACTCTGGGGCAATTCAGTGCCTTCAGTTTTCAGCAGTTTCTCGGACTGTTTGTAGATCAGCGCAGATCTGAAGACGGTGCAAAGTTCTAGTTTTCAAAAACACTGATGTTTAAATGTATTCTACTGAACACCTACCTTGGCTTCTTCCAAGCGACCCAGGGCTTTAAGCAGGTTCCCCAGGTCACTACGAACACAGTACAAGTCCTGAAAAATCAAAGTAAGGCTGTCAGCAGCTGTACTTGAGAATACGGAGATCTTGCAAAAGACCCCGTAATTCTGTTAATTCCACAGTACTTATTCAGCATCCTTGGTAACCAATTAAATCAGACTTAATAGCTTTTTTCTACATCTAAGATCACTGATATAGTCGGTAATCATAATCAAATATTCCTAGTGGGAAAAATAAAACAGGAAAATTCTAACCAAGCTTTTAGTTTCATTTTTGCTTGACCGGCATCTTCCACACTTCACCAAAAGAATGGAGATTTTCCTTCTTTTTGAGGTGGGCGTCTAGCCGTGTTCTCAAAGCTTGTTATCTTAAACTGCACCCTAACAATTGCTTGATTTGTTCAAATACCTAATCAGACAGCAACTTGTTCTCTACAGAACAGTTTCTTTTCTTCTGTGTTCATTCCGAGGGCTGTCTCATTTCACCTACTTTGCGTGCTCTCTGTTTTGCTGTTTGTCACCGTCTCACTTTCACTTTTAACTGGAACTATGACTCAGAGGACTGCAGCATAACTATATTGGTAGCAGAAGGAAGAAGCAGGAGGACAGAGGAATAGCTCTTGTGATGAACCCTCAGTAAAAGAAATTACTCAGCCTTGTAATAGGACAAGTCATATAAACCTGCGTTATTAAATAGTATCTGGCAGCACCCCTGAGAAGCACCTGGGCTTACGGCTTTCTGAAATCTCAGCACACAATGACAAAATTTAAGTCTAACTAGTGAAATAAGATGGAGTCACAGTCTTGCTACTTTGATTTGTTCGTGTGGAATGGTAGAGAACACGCAGTACAGAGATTCTTACCTCCCTCTAGAACTATTCATTTTCTGTTTTATTCTACCAATGAAAAGAGTTTAAAGGCAAAAGATCTACCCATAACACTACAAGGGTGCACTGCAAATGCTTTATCACACATTTGACTACCACAGCGATACCAGTAGAGAAAGAACCAGCATCCAATTAAACTCCTGCCTTTATACAGCGATTTGTGCTATGCAACACATTTGACAAGCATAGTACAGGTTAAATAAAAGAGAGTGAATAATCCAACATGTTTTTGCTGGAACAAAATAAGTCCAGAACAGCAATTGCATATCAAGAAATCCATGATTAGCAAACTTCAAATGTGGCTTATTGCTACAGTTTCAGCATTGCACACAGACACTTTCATCTAAGTGATGAGACTGAAACTCATGCTAAGCTTGGGCCTACTCACAAAAGTTAAAATACAGAATACTGACGCTAACTGCATATTGCAAGAGGATGTGGGTTCATAGCTAGGCCATTTGAGAAGAAACAATGAAGTCTCTCTTCCAGCTTATCTTGCTATATTCAGGAAGATTTCAGGCAGACTCTTAGTTGTCTGGTGTGTAACCATATGAAATGTCTATCCTTGATTAATTAGTATGGTAAATATTTTGCGACTAACCCATGTTTATGTGCAGGAAGAGACATTCTCCATATGTAATAGATGTCTCCTCCTGATTTAGTATGTTTTTCCTGGCTGTTAATCAGTTTCTTGATATGTTCCAAACTGGACAACCTCTTGTTCCTGAAGACAGTAACTCATTCAAATTAGAAATTTCTGATAACCAGTAATGAGCAGGTTTTTCCTGTCATTTACTGCTTGGGACTCTCTCTTGATTTACACAGCTAAAAGAATGCTTTGAAGATGCTAAACAAAGGGTATAAAAAGGCAGTAAAACAGCAAACAGCGTGCGCGTTTCAAGAGTGAGGAATCTCTCTTGACACTAGATGCTGATGCGCCCGACATACTCAAGAAGTTGGGAGAAACAAACTGCCTTTTTGTTGCCTGCTTGGTGAGAAATCATCACCTTATAGCTTAATTACTGGACCTTGGTTGAGTTTGGGCTCACTTGACTTGATTTC